ATTTGGCTGATTTTAGTGGCTTGGAAAGGGAGAAGTCAGCTTGGGAAGTGAAGAGGTAGGGGCTGGCTGCTTGGGGAAGAGAAAGGACTGATGTGGCTTGCTTGGAAAGAGAATTAGTTGGCTTGGAAAAGGAAAAAGTTAATTTGGGAGGTGAAGAGGTGGGGCTGGCTACTTGGGGAAGAGAAATAAATGATGTGGCTTGCTTGGGAAGGGAAAAAGTTAAATAGTTGTGGATCTCCAAAGGTCATAATTAATTGAGATAAATGCTCAATTAATGTGAATTAATTGCAGAATTGGTAGCCCAAGGGTCAATGGTGTTGGGGAGAAGGTGGAGGCGGTTAGAGGGGAAGGGAGGGAGGTGGTTGCTGGTTGAGGGCAGCAGGTTGCTGCAATGGTGGGAGGCTATTTGGCCGACTAGAGAAGGAGAATAAAGAGATAGAGAGGCAAGATGATACCAACTAAGAGCTCACACACAGTTGGGTATTTCTTTGCCTTTTTCCAAAGGACTTTACACACAAACTCAACTCACCAAGAGAAGGGGAAGCATATAACCAGAAATTTATATCAAAATATTCATCATCTATAAGGCAAAGATCTCATCCATATATATAAGCTCCCAAAACATGAAAGGAACAAAAGACAATAAGGTCTTTGGCCAAACAACATAAAAGCTCCCTCAAGTGAGGGTAAAACTGTAGTACAGATTTCTTCGCCAGGTGGAAAAGCGCGTACAGATTTCCTCCCCAACCAAGGGCCGTGAAGTTCAATTGTCTCGTATCATCTCGTATAGTACTGTACCGTCCTCGCAGGCCGGGGAAATGAACCTTTTGTACAAAAGAAAAAGAATCTCATCTCTTTTTTTCTTATTCACGCCCAAGCCCCACCTCCCACGGCTACAGCCAACACCAGGAACCGCACCTAGACCACCACAAATAAGGAACTAAACAGCTGGCTCGGATTAGATAGGGATAGGCTGTTATGAGCGTGATCTAGCTAGAAGCCTGGTCCTCTTTGAATTAACACGACATAATTCTCCTACAACACATTTAAATTAAAAATATAAAGACTCAATCAAGGACGTAGATCTCCGGCCTCTACGGTGATCAATCATCCAACCTCTGATGTCCCCATCACATACACTACCATATTAACTTGATTAAGGTGAAAAGCAAGAAAGGGTTGACTCAATCTTAAAATAAGGTTGGATTTTTTGTATGGAATTTTGGAAATTTGAATGAGAAGAATGGTAATTGGCTTCTATAATGATTAGAAGAAGAATAAATATTGCTTGCTACATAAGTTAAATATAAAGAAGAAAAATTCAAAGACATTGTGCGAGTTTATAAGTTATGATTGTTGGAAATGTCAATAACAGGAACAAGTTTAATATTGTATAGTATAAAGAGTTGAAAGACAATTTTTTTGAGGTGGATAGGGCTAATGAGGAGTTTATTGCTATCAAGACAATTACTAGTTTTCACATTATAAGCCTGGCTATTGATTATGCTCCTCTAGCTATATTAAAAATCAGTTTTGAGATGTGATGAATGAATTGCTATAATGTATATTTAAAAAAAGAAATGGCATTTATCAGAGGTTTACTTAAATGGACATATAAGTTATAGTAGCGTGGATTATGAGATTATTCATGGTGGATGTGAAATAGGATATAAAATACATTGAGAGAAATCAAATTTGCTTTCAGTTTATGTATGATATTTCATTATAGAACACATACCTTTAGATAGAAGACAAATAATTAATTACTTATAAAAATAAATTAATAAAATTACAACTATACTTTATTTTTTCTTTGAAGGAAAAATGAATTCTTTTTTAAAGATTTTAAGGTGATTCGAAGAGAGCCTTTGACCAAGAATATATTGGAGTAGTTATGAATGCATATTTTAAGAGTATAAAGAAACAACTTAAAAAAAATGACCCAAATAAAATTGAATTTTTTTAGTTCGGCCAACTTAATGTGAGCTAAAATTGTTAGTTCTATTACAAAATTGCTATAGAAAATTTTAGAGGATCTAGAAATATATCTTAAATATATTAGGAGATTTGATTATGTAGTGAAGTGTTATGTGTGGACTCTGATTGTGTTGATCAATTTAGTTATTCTGTTGCCTTGGACCTCAAAGGTTGTTGTGCTTATTTTTTTTGGGGGGGGCAGTCCTCATCCTGCTTGGGTTCGAACCTTAAAGAATTTTTTTCTGTACAACGCCCTAGTGCTATGTATCCAAGCGCTCCGACGTTGTGTTCTCAAGCGCCCCAATGCTGAACGGTAGAGCACAGAGTACTGCATCGATGAAGATACGGCGCTGCACCGCTTTGGAATGCTTCAGCCATATGAGCTTTAGCACAACAATTGATCAAGATAGAGTTTTGAGCACGACAATGCTGTGAGACAGACTTGACGGTTTTATTTCTAGTTTTTCTGAAGGGTTGCATCCCTTGGGGTTATTTACTTGGCTTTCTCTTGTATTTATGTATTGTTAGACAATGAGAATTGTTCATGTGAGAAGAGAAGCAAGGACAGAGTGAGAGAGAAGAGAGATATGTACTTATTTCTCTCCATTTTCATAGTGGATTTATTAGTGTGGTGTGACTCCGTTGTTTTTTCTCATATTTTGAGTTTTTCCACGTTAAATTCTGGTGTCTTTTATTTTTCCGCAGCTTTTACTTTCTTACTTGTTTCGTCGTTGTGGTGTTTACTCATCCCCAACATGAAGTGGTATAAAATGTTTGAGGGATAAATAATTAAAATTTTTGAATATTAGTGGGTCTTATAGTAATTATTAAAAAGTTATTCATCTTGCAAAGATTGCTGTGAGTTAAGTAAAAGCCATAGCTTTTGATGATTCATATAATAGCTTTAGTTTAGCCAACTTTATGTGAGAGAAGATTGCTGGTTCTATTAAGCAAACTACTGTAGAAGGTTTTGGAGGAATATATCTTAAATATATTAGGAGATTTGATTGTGTAGTGAAGCGGTATGACCTGTTATTGAGCGAAATTTGTGTTTTACAGAGTTAAAAAAAAAAAATGAATGTTAGTGAGTCTTATAGTAATTATAAGAAAGCTATACATTTGCAAAGACTGTTGTGAGCAAAGTAAAAGCTATAGCTTTTGATGATTCAAATAATAGACTAGTATTAAGGAAGGATATATATTATAGCTAAGGTAAGAGTTAAGTCTCTCGACACATTGATCAAGTTAGATGCATTACAAGTATTAAATTTTTTATCAAAGATGAAGAAGTGAAGATATAAATGTTATTTTGGAAATTATTAAATTGATTTTTGGTGATGAAATTATTTTGCAAGAGCGTAATAAATAAAAATAATGTGGTAGATTATAAATTAAACCAGAAACGTTAAGTGGAGTTAGTTCTAACGTAGATGCATGAAGGAAAAAAAAATTAATAAGATATTGATGGAGCTTAGTTTGTAATTTTCGGAATCCAGGAAAAACAGTCCAAAAATGGTGGAAAAATACGAAATTTCTTGGATGAAAACACTCACAAACACTTCAATAACTTGAATATCAAAAGACTTACAAGTTTCCACGGATACAATGCTCCCAATTCGAGAAGAGAAGCTTTCTCCCAAGCCCTAGAGAAAAAAAGAAAACTAAAACAGCCACAAAACAAGATGCCTCCAAAAAGCCACCCTAACTCACTTTTAACTCTCACATAAACCCCTCAAAATCCCCTAATTACCCCTAGGGCAAACACCCCATCCTTTCTCTTCAATTTGGTGGGCCCCTTGGGCCCACCCGACTGCTTCTTCCCTTCGGCTTGTCCGCCCAGGCAGGCGGGTTCTCCGCCTGCAGTAAGTGAGAACCGGCCCTTTTTGGGCCGGTGTTGCTATGGACCGGACCGGTCCATCAGATATTTCTGGGTTTTGGAGAGTTATGGTGGATATTATAGTTTATGAAGCATAAACATTGACATAAACAGATACACAAATGTTGCAACACAACATAATTATTAAAAATAGTACACCTTACGCAATCAAAATAGTGTTCTTTTTCTTGCAAGCAGGTAACTAAAATAGCCAATACTAGTATTTTTAATTAAAAACATCATGCACTGAAATATAATATCATATACTTAACATAAAGAGCTTCCCACATACATGAAACACCTACATTAGTATTATTTTGCGAAAATCTAAAATATTAGAATAACATCTTAAAGATAAAATAATTTATACTTTGAGACAAAAAAAACGAGAAATCAATAAAAAAATTATGGATTGAAATAAGGATTAGAGGAGGAAAGTTAAAAGCCTTTAGCATTTAACCATAATGCACGAGCAAAGGATAAATAGAAAGAGCTAGATGTACTCTTCAGTGAGCAGCATCTAAAAGTTTGACATTTGAAGAAGAGTAATTGGTTGTTAAGAACATTGAACAAATCTTGAGCTAGGGGTATGATTTGTGAACATCAAATAAGAATGAGCAGGAAGACCGAACAAATAAGAGTAAAAATTAAGCGAGGAGTGACCAGACTACTAATGCCAAACTCCCAAGGAAGCTGCTGAGGTTTAGTGACTTATAAGGCGAAAGGTTTCATTACTCGTACTAGATCATGAAAGCATCAACTAAGAACAAGCAAGATAATTGACTAGGAATGAGGACCAGATCATTGAACCTAAAAAAGCCTTAAAACCTATGTGTCATGCTTATGCATTCCAGTGTCGGGCTATGCTTTGCTCGTGATTAGGGCTTGAAATATCTCTAATACAATTTTAAGTGTGCAGACGTGTAAGGGCATGTCAGAGATGAGTTTTTGTCTGAGACAAGCACAGAAGGCATTTTGAATTATCATTAGTTCATTGTCCGCAACAGTTTGATTAATAATTTTTTTTAATGAAATTTTGAAAATTAAGAGTATATCAAAAGATTGAATTTTTGATATTTTGGCAGCAATATTTAAGATCAAAGATCATCTTTAAAATTTTGCTAATTATATTGATACTAAACTTATGATTCATATAATGGGGAGAGAGTAATGGACTATATACATAGAAAAATTAAGTTAGTTTTAGAGAATCAAATTAATTTCATGCTATGATCAATAATGTAAGGATCTTTATGTTATGAGAATTAATAAAAAAATAGAGAGTAGATAAAGGATTATATATATATATAATCTTGGCAATGCATATGATCGTATACCATGATGATTGATTTGGTGTGTTTTAAGAAAAAAATGTGTTTGCCAAAGCTCTTTCAAGTTATTGAAGATATGTATGATAGAGAACTGACTAGTATTTGAAGTAGTTGTGGAGTGACTAGGAAGTTTTCAAATTATGATATGCTTACAATAAGGATTAACATTGAGTCAATATCTCTTTTTAGTGGTTATGAAGATGTTGATAGATGATATTTAAATTAAAATGCCTTGTGTATGCGTTTTGCAAAGGACATTGTTTCAATTGGTGAGACTTCTGCATAAAAAAAGTGAAATGTTAGAGCAAAGAAAATATTTAGAAGATAGATGGCCTATAATTAGTAGAATAAAGATTACACATATGATATGCAATTTTAGCGATTTTGATATTAATATTTATCAGTCAATATTATTAGGTAATAATTTGATAACTCAGTTTGATAGGTTTAACTATCTTATATCTATTATACGAAAGGCTATGGAGATAACGATAATATTGCTTTTAGAGTTATGATTGAGTGATTAAAATATAGAAGTATCTCAAAGTATTATGCGATATGAGGATATTGTAGAGGCTTAAAATTAAATTTTATAAAATTTCAATTAGATTGACAATATTATATAGATTCAAGTGTTGGAAAACAAAAAAAAAAGATGAAGTTAAGTTGAGTGTAGTGAACAAGATAATGTTAAGATGGACTTGTGGTAAACCAAGAAAAGATAAATTATGGATTGCATATATTAGATGAAAAGTTAAAGTGATAAGTACTCATTTGAAGATAAAATAATTGAAAATAGATTTAGCTAGCTTGAAAATCTACAAATAAGTAAGAACTGTACTCATTAGATAGGTATATAAAATTAGTTTGAGAGATTAGGAAGTAGAGGTGTAGGCCTAAGATAACCTGGATAGATGTTCAAAATGATTTGCAAAGAATATGTTTAACCCATCAAACAACAGTACATAAGAGCAAATGAAAAATGGGATTTCATAAAACCAACCCCAAATAGTTTTGATTAGGTTCTTGATGATGATGATGATGATGGTGATGATGATGGTATAAGACTTAAATGGAATTTACTATCTTGTTTCTTATATAGGAGATTGGAAAAGCTTTAACGTGGAAGAAAACACTTTTGTGTTAGAAGGAATTATATAAATCTCGTGAGAGTTATATGCAACTAAATGCATGTGCTAATAATGTTTACATGTACTTTTGTAGCTTAACCCTTTTCCTTATGTCACAATGTAATATTAATAATTATTTAAATGCTTCAGGTAGCTGATGGAGATGTTTGCCGATCGATGACTTTACCCATCTATGTGATGCTTCCTCGATTATTGGTGTGTCCCACTGTGCTGAATGGGTAAGCTGTTAACTTGCAATGTGATTGTTTCATGTTTAAATTTTATTCTGAAGTTCCTCACCTCATTGTCAAGATGAACTTCTCTTTAGGCTGAGTTCAGAAATCATGATATTCTAATTTAATATTGTATGAACCGCGACTCAAAGGATCTTTGAAATATATTATCCAAAAAAAATCTGCCTGCTGCTAGCTTACCTTTTTTTTTACTTTCCACCCATAGTAATCAAATTGTTAACTGTCTACAAAATTTTCTTATAAGCTCTGAAGAATAGTCGATGCTTGATCTACTTCAAATCCTAGAGCCAATTATGGGACCACCATTATGGGTTTTGGCATTGGCAATTTGAATGAATGTATTGCTGTGCCAAGCGAACAAGCCCATAAGCTATTGTAATTATAAGTTGGGGAATCTGAGTATGAAAGATAATATGACGTTGAAATTGAATTGGAGTTGGAAAATAATTTTGCGATGCTAAGAGGCTTAGACTTTGTTTATTCACATCATGGATATTTCCACTGATCGCACTTGTTTCTCTCTAATCATGTTTACCAGTGATGTGAAGCTTGGAAAGAAGATAAAGAGAGGGAGCTTATTTAGGGCTATCTTAAATGTTAAGGTGAGGAATTTCTTCCACGTGTTTTTTATTACATTCGAAGGAAGGTGGAATGGTAGCGAAGGGCTTTGTTAGGATTATTCTTCCCTTGTGGTGATAGAAGTTTGACTGCTTTGGTCTTCATCCAAATCCCTTGGTCTGTAAGAGATACAAAATTATGAAAATATAGATAAATTAATTGTCTTGTAAGCTACCCTTCAACTTCAAATTATAAGTAAACATTGAATTGTTGGGATCAGTCATGAGTTACGTTGAGTTGCTTGGATCAGACATGAGTTATTGCTATAAATAGGGAGTGAGTGGATTTACAAAGAGCTGAGCATAAAAAGAGCTAAAAGCAGCTGATTTTAATTTTCCTTATTCAATTTAACTTCCGTTTTGAATGAACTTCATACGCACTTCCACTTCAGTTATAACTCTTAATCAGGACCATTGGACGTGAATGTAAAGTTGCCATGTTCATTACAAGAGCTGGAGAAACTTAGACCTTGAAGGGAGCAATCAAAATTTGTAGGTGCTGGAGCAAGTCAACACCAGCCTTTTTAAACCTGCCTGTTTAAGGCATTAGGATAAATGTTGGGCTTTGGCATTTCTATTTATCTTGAGTTTTTTGGCCAATGTAGTGTAGCAGCTAATAACCTCTTGACTGACATTGCTTTCTTCTGAATTAAAACAGACCACCTAGCCGAACATTTTAATTGAATCAGTTCCCGAAAACATAATGAAACTTGTAGCATGATTACCTTTATGCATGATTTTTATTTGATAGACCCCCCTGTATCCTGACTCTTCCTACACAACTATTCTGCAGCAAATGGCTGGAATTTCATTAGCAAAATATGTTCCTATTGTTGTTGGCCTACACAACTTCTCCATAATCGATATAATTGAATACGAAAAACCTAGGGATAATGGTCTCCATATCCCACAAATCTAGCTTGAAACATGTTGCACGCATCAAAATCACTCAACAATTGCTCTTTCCGTGAAGAGTTCATTGATACATCTAAAACATTGCATTATCTAGAAAGGACATCTATGTTGCTAGAAGCAGATCTTCACATCATGCCAACAAAGCCGGATATGGGTGCACGATTGACCATAGTTGATGATGCTAAGGCGGTGAAGGACAAGTGAAGGCTAGTAAAGCTTCTCCTGTGAACACCTAAGGATTAGAAAAGGAGAATGAAAAGATGAACAATGATGCTCCTCTTGACTTGTAGGTTATTGTGACGGCTTTTCTTCAGGCTACTGATTCAAAAAAATGAAAAGAAGAGGAAGCATTTAGAAGAGAATTTCAATTGAATTTATGGCTAAATTTGAGCCTTTTAACTATACAAAATATAGCAAATATAAGCTTTAATCCATACTTGCCAAACTCCACAAAAAATAAAAACTTTATCTACAATAACAAACTAGATAAATTTAAAATAAAAGATAATTTCAAGAGAATTTGTCTTAATCATGAATTATAAATTAAAAAATAAACTTATGTAAAATAATTCAAAATTCATTATTATCTTACTATAATTTAGATTATTTTCTTATAAAAAAAATATATCATTTACATTACAAAGATTGTAACGTTATTCTGAGTGAAAGTTTACGTATCCAGCATCGCTTATTAGTTTTAAACTTTAAGATGAAAAGACGGAAGTTTTCTAAATTATGTTTATACTATTTAGGAAGTATTTAATTGTTTAGGAAGATTTCTTGAACTATGTTTAATTGTTTAGGAATGTTTTCTAAATTATGTTTACTTGTTTATGGAGGTTCTATTTTTGTTATGGTGGCTAGGACTATTTAAGGAGTTGTCTTGGGTTTATAGCATACTATGAGTTTTGGTTGTTGTAGTTATTTTCTTTGAGGGCTTTCTAGCGGCATCTAATTTAATTGGGAGAGCTGATCTACCTCTCAATTTGTAGATCACATGTATCTTGCTTTCTCTTATTGAAGTATTAATACAAAATCAATCACCATTTTAATTTTACTGTAGTTTTTCTATTGTTATTTGTTGTTTTTACTTCCAAGGCGTATCACTTAACATCACATAAGACTATAAGAGAGCAAATAGAAAATTGCATCTATCATTATCTTTGGGTTATTGACTATCTCACATTTTTATGGGTTAATAATTGTGGTTACGTTGAGATGGTTGATTTTGAAATCACCATGGTAAGGCCAAGAATAAATGCACTAATGACACAAATGCCCTTAGGCTTACACATGACAACTCCCATAAAAAGGGGTACAATGGAAAATAATAAAACACACAAAGCAAATAATAAAATGCATGAAAACAAAATACATCGACTCAAAAATATAACGACTCGATCGTGGCCGTAGATCGGCGGCCACGTCGCTGGTAAACTCTCCATGATGATCTGATGTCCCCATCAATATGGGTGCACGATTGACCATAGTTGATGATGCTAAGGCGGTGAAGGACAAGTGAAGGCTAGTAAAGCTTCTCCTGTGAACACCTAAGGATTAGAAGAGGAGAATGAAAAGATGAACAATGATGCTCCTCTTGACTTGTAGGTTAAAGGCTCAAATTTTTAAATATTTTATCCTATTATGATGACTGTGCATCTTCGATTATATGAGCAGTAATTCGGAAAAAAAATGAAAATGTTTTCTCTGAGATCATGGAGTCTGTGTTTGTAAATTAATTTATGAATATACCTTTGTTGTATTTATCTATGATATTTTACATATAAAATATTAAAAATGTTCTCTCTATGGTCAAGAGCTTTTGAAGATGTCCTATGCTAGTGTTAATGTGAGTAGTAAATGAGAAGTTGTAGATTTTAGCAATGCGTTGATATTGATCATGAGTAAAATGCTGATGAATAGTTGTACTGGATTAATTTGGGAGGGCTTTCACATTAATTTCTGACCGAAGTGATTCAGTTGATGTTGCTGTCCCAGCTGCTTCTCATCTTTGCAAGTTGGTCTTGATATTGTTCCTAAGCATACTCATAATAGTTCAAGGTTAAAAAAGGAGAAATGAATGGTAAAAGAATTTGGGTGAAGGACCAAAATTTGATCAGAATAAATTTTAAAGATATTGAATTTACTTTGAAAAGAATATAATATATGATTAATCAATTAAAATTTATGTTGCACTTATCTGAGAGTAAATCTAATAAATTTAAAATTCTTTCAGTTTATCCTAACCTAAATTCTCTTCATTATACTGGGGCATGAAATAGGGAAAACCAATGATAGCTGTCTGAATATATCCATACATTTATACTCTTAATAGTTATTTGAAAAAATATCTTCATGTTTATTGCAAATGTTTGTAACGTGTGAATGACCATATATCATTTAAGTAACTTTTGTTCCATACGCATGCAGGCCGTTCTCCATTGAATTTCAGGTGTCTATTGTAATTAGTTTTAAGTCCGAGCTATCCAAGTTGTACCCAAAATTTGATCTCCAAACTCCAAGGCCATGGGTGAGTATATACATTTTACTTTGGTTGCTAGAGATTCCTTTTATATTTGTTTTTCTTCTTAATTTACATTCTCTTTATTTAGTTGGCTTCGCTGACGTTGCCACTAAGAGTTTTCAGAACGACATAAGCTAGTTACAGCGCTCGCACACTATCAACTGAAAGCTTGGTGCACGAAGTTATCACTGATTTCTTTCATGCTTCAACATCATTTTATGAAAAGCTATAGAATAAAGTTCTATAATCAATTTATGCTGGATTTTCTTGTTAGTTTTATCCACGCATCTGTATGCGATTCAAATACTATGCGTTAAAGAAAAAAAATTTCCAAATTTTCGTAAAAGATATTATTCTTTGTTCTAGAAGCTTGAGTTTTGTGGCATGTGGTTTTGTTTAGGGAAAGTGGTGTGATAACCTGTACTAAACAATATCCAGATTCTTGAAAGCAAGAAGAACGAGCAGAAAAGCAAAAATGAAAGAGAGGAAATAGTGAAGTTTGCATATTTTTTTCCATCTTCCTATCTTTTTTTCTGTGTATTTATATCAAGAGAGATTATTATGTGCAGACACCGGACGGGAAGAATCATCCGATTTTATCTCTGTGAAAAGTAAATACGTAGCATGAACAGTTTGCTTTTACTGTTCACAGATATAAACCGAAAGATTCTCCCCATTCGGTGTCCGCACAGAATAATTCATCCTATATCAGTCCTCCTTTTCATATTTGCTTAATACGATAAAAAGTTAATAGGTACTATTTTAGCTAAAAGAGTCAAAAGAAGTAGTGGTAAATAAAAATAGAAAATGAGTAGTGGATTGTGGCCTGTATTTGCTGAACCCGGCTCCTTATGATGCACTGCATCAGAATATTTAAGTGCCGATGCATTGATGCAGGTGGCATTTGATTTTAAAATTTTGACAACATTCAAAATGTTGACCAACTATACTATTTGAGACTCACCCTGATGGGGTTTAAAGATAAGTCTTGCAGGCATAAATAATATCTATTTTGTTCAAATAAGTGTTGACATGCGATTTGTTATTCCCTGATGATTCACTCATATCCAATCACTAATAATTCATCTTTTCAATTACCGTCTATTCAAACTGGTGTGACAAGCTATACAGAACGCAATTTCGCTGTAAGAAGAAGTGCAGACTTTTTGTGAATTGATATTCCTGGTGATTCACTCATATCCAGCACCTCCTCTTTCGTTTCTTCTGGCACCTCCCAGTTAAAATGGTGCAACAAGTTTGCAAGCGTGCATTCTATAACAGCAATAGCGAAGCCTATCCCTGGGCAAGCTCTTCGTCCAGCTCCAAATGGTGTAAGGTGGAAGTGTTGTCCTCTAAAATCAATGTTGTTATTCATGAATCTCTCAGGCCAAAATTCATCTGGCTTATCCCAGTTTTCGGGATCTCTTGCAATTGCCCATGCATTGATCAAGATTCTTGTTCCAGCTGGAATGTCATAGCCTTGCAATTGAGTATCTTCCATCGCAACTCTGGGAACTAGTAAAGCAATTGGAACGTGCAATCGTAGTGTCTCTTTGATAGTTGCTTTAAGGTAAGTCAATCTGTCAATGTCTTCCTCTTCAATAACTTCTTTAGATCCAGCAACTTCTCTTATCTCCCTCTGAACCTCTTGCATCAATATTGGATGCTTGATGAGCTCTGCCATGGCCCATTCTAAAGCGGTTACAGTTGTGTCTGTGCCAGCAGCAAACATGTCCTGCCATAATTGATGAAAAAAAGAAGAAGTTAAGGGCATCCTGTCAGGTTCTCTTCAGATTTAAAGCTTGATGCTAATATTTAGACTGCATTAAAATTTTTTTAGAGGGAGTTTCCAGAGTTTTGCTATACTCAGGCCAATATAATAAGAAGTTTGAAGTTTTATTCATCATTATGAAGTTAATAAGTGTTATTAGTATGTTAATGAAATTTGTGATCGTATTAATGATCAATATGTTAATGAAGATTGAGCAGATGTTAACATGAAGCAATTTTGATTTTTATTATTATGTCTTACAAAATAGTATTTTTTATGAGCAATGAGATTTGTGCTTTACATAATGAGTGTGATTGTAATTGAGTTATATTCGATAGAGATTTTTGTTGTTTGGTGAAGGAGATAACCACTCTCTTAATATTGGTATGGTAGTAGTTTTCTTTGCGATATAAATTTAGTTGATGCAATTAGGGGTGTCAAAAATTGACATGACCTGAAACTCGAGCCGGATCCGACCCGGAAAAATTCAGGTTTGGGTTAACCCGTTTGTGAAATGGGTCGGGTTCGGGTTTGGATTTTGGATTTTTGACCCGTTTGAAAAATGGGTCGGGTTCGGGTTGACCCGAAAACCCGCAGGTCGACCTGAATTGACCCGTTTGTAATCACATCGCTCAGGCATTAGGGTCCCGTTGCTCGGTCGTGTCAATCACGTCGCTCGATCATTAGGTTCGCGTCGCTCAGGCCTCAGGGTCATGCCGCCATCAAGCTTGAGCTGTCGGCCTATCACCGTTCCAACTCCCAAATCCGCATGAGATGCCGCTGCTGGCCTACCAGACGCTGGATTTCTGCCGCCGTCCCAAACTTGCCTAAGATGTTGTTGCCCCACCTGAGAGTCGTCGAGCAGAAGACTGTCGTCGTCCCTCCGTCGCGGGTCGGGTCAACCCAATAAGCTGCACGGGTCGGGTCCGGACTGACTATCCTGACCTATTTGCAAAACCGAGTCAGGTTAGTGTCGAACCGTTTAAGGTAGGGTCAAGTCGGATTGACCCGAACCTGATCTGTTGACCCGAATTGGCAGCCCTAGATGCAATTATCATCTACATTGTAGAAAAGATTGAAAGTGTGAATTTAGAAATAAAATAATGGTTCAACTTTCATGTTCCACTTAAAAAAAAAAAATGTTTTAGTTGGGATGCAATGTTTATTTAGAGGTACAATGACAAGAAATACGGCTAGATTTGGTAACTTATGTAAGCCTACAGTTGAAAGCGATGAGCAAGTACCAGAATTAGAGCTTTGATATGCTCTTTGTCGAGGCCATCATGTTCTTCTTTAATGGATAACAGCACGTCCACGAAGTCTGCACAATCCTCATCTGTCTCAATGTCAATAGAATTTGAACTCTCTCGTCTACTGAGATGCTCCTCCAGAACCTGCTCTAAAAACTCATCCAGCTGCTTAGAAGTTCTCCTCGCTCTCCCATCCAACCCAGTCAGCACATCAATCCAACCCAACCAAGGAACAAAATCTGCCAGTGGAAAGCACCCCAACAATCTGACAAACTCATTCAACATCTCTCGAAATCTCGTCTCCCCTGAATACTTCCTCCCCAACGCCGCCCTGCATATGATATCATTAGTGAGAGTAACCAACCTCTTGCTCAAGTTCACCGCCTCCGCCGCCACCGAAGCGGCTCGAATGTCTGCAATTAGAAGAGCCACCTCCTCCTCCCTCACACGCCTGTATGATTGCACGCGCCTGCTACTCAGTAGGTGGACGATGCATATCTTCTTCATCTTCCTCCAATAGTCATTGTACGGCGAGAAGGCGATGTCCATGCTATTGTAGATGAGATGGTTGGCCAAGGATGATGGCGGACGGCTTGCAAAGATGAGGTCCTGTGTCTTCATAACTTGCTCGGCAATTTCTGCGGAGGAGACGACGACGGTGGGGGCCACGACGCCTAGTTGGAGAAGGATGAGAGGGCCATATCTTTTAGAAAGGGAGTTGAGGGATTGGTGAGGAAGTGAGCCGAGTTGGTGGAGGTTTCCCAGTAGTGGGAGGCCTGGTGGGCGTGGCGGGAGCTTTGTAGCGGCAACGGTTTTGCGCCTGTGGAGGAAGAAGAAGAGGATTGTTAGCAAGGTTATGAGGATGATGATTACGGTTGCCATGTTTTGGGGTCACTTGGAATGTATACGCTGTTTGCTTTTATGCAGTCTGTTAGTGGAGAGATTATTAGGTGCGGAGTGCGGACGGCGAGAACCGTCCGCACAAGTTTTATTCTGTGTTAGGTACCGGCATGCGGTATCCTTGGATACAGCTGGGTACTGCTAGGTACTCATATATGTGAGGACGGTACACACTCCGCATCTAATAATTTTTCCTTTTACTGGGGATCTAAAGATGCCTCTGTTGAAGGAGAAGTGTGAAAAGTGATTATTAAAAAGTCCGGTGCGTGATGATTTTTCCATCCTAGTAAGTTGTTTCGTGTCTGATTTCCCCTCAAGAGGGGAAATTAAATTTAATCTCCTGCAAGTGGCAGGAGAGCCCGGGGATGGAGAAATTTTTACGTTTATGTTCATACTCTAATTAAAATATATTATTGTTGCGGGCTCCAATATACACGGTGGTAGAGTTAAAATACTTTTGTCTTAGCGTTGTACAAATATTCAGCACACAAAAAAGAGATAAAAGAACACCAGGATTTTTACGTGAAAAACCCGAAAGAGGGAAAAAATCACGGGGCCGTGCCCAGTTGAAAAGTTCTACTAGTGTTGCATGAATTTACAAGAAGCTGATTCGTCCCACAAGTCGGGACGATCAGATTACAATCAGTTTCTTCTAAATTGAAACAAAATTACAAAGTTCTGCAGAATTCCGGCGTTTCCCAAATATCAGGCAGAATCCCGGCGTATTCAGGCGACGGAAAGAATTCCGACGGTGGTCGAGGAGGAGCTGATTCTCCTTCTCTTCTTCTTCTCACTTCGGTCCCCTTTTATGAGAAATGAAGGGTCTATTTATAATTTTTCTGGAGTGGCATGGCTTGTAAATATGTGTGAGATCATGGGCGAACAGGGAGTGGTCAAATGGACGGCTGATATTGAATCCCTTGATCGTGCACCGTTCGTAAGACATTTGAAGGTCTTAGTGATGTCAGAATTTGGCGATCTTGGGCTCGTTGGATTCTTCTCGTTGAGCCGTTCGATTCGACTATAAGTTCGTTAAAATCGGAGACCGTTTGGTAACTCAAATTGTGGTACGAGCTTTCTAACAGTACTTCGGGTGCTTGATTTGTGCTCATTTGGGCTCATAATGAGTTGAATTTGGTGTATTTGGGTTCGTATTTCCGAGACGCTCAGTTTGAGTATAAGCTCGCTAAAATCGGAGTTCAAGTGCTTCCGAATTTAATTTTTGAAGTTTCCGGGTTGATTTTTGCCTCGAATTCGTGCTCGATCAAGATAATTTCATGATGACGTAGCAATTATATTGCCTATATATATATATATATCTCGCCCTCAAATGGAGGCCACCCGGTAATGAGTCGACAAACAAAACTATTTTAATTTAGACCCCACCTGAATAAATTGTTTGGCTCAGCCACTGGTTTTATAATTGTTTGTTTTTCAAATAGCAATTACAATATCGTTTGACTATTATTTTCTTATTATATTTTTACTACATTACAGAAATTTTTGTTATGGAAAGCGGTTTTCTACAATCATAGTGGCGAAGTTGCTTTCTACACAACAGTTTTGTAGTCAACTTTATAAAATACTGCGATTGTCTCAAACAAACCGTTTCTTTTGCACGAGGTTATATTAATCGGATTGCAACACAAAAGGATCCTATAACTTGGAATCAAACTTATGAGTTACATAATACAACTATTTAAAAAAACGATTGAATGTAGGTTATACAACTCGAGCATGAGGTTTTTTCGAACCTCCATCGCCAGATAATGGCCCTTCTGAGCTCCTTTGCTTGCCGACTACGGTCTTTTCAACCTTAGTCACCTGTCGACTACAATCCTTCAGACCTCCGTCGCTCATCGACTATGGTCCTTCCAACCACCGCCGTCTATCGACTACGGTCCTTCTGACCACCATTTGACTACAGTCTTTTTGACCTCTGTTGCCTGACTACTATCCTTCCGACCACCATTATCCAATTACAGTCCTTCCAATCTACATCACTTGCCAATTATGGTCCTGCAGACCAAACAAACATATCAACATTGATTCTTCCAACTCCCACCATATAATGCACTCTATACGATGTATATTTGCTACATCGAGCCAAAACCTTCCTCCTAAGGGCTTTATTTGTAATCAACCGCAAACATTAGTGGATTCATTCAAACTAGGCTAGGACTCGTTGTATTTCCCCCTTTTAGGAGTTTCCACATTAAAATTATAGTATCTTTTTTGAACACTACATACATACTTTCTTATCTGTTTGTGTGTTTGATCTTCATACAAAATTAAGATGTTAAACTTTATATTTATCTATCTCCACGAATATTCCAGAACACAACATATTTAAATATTTTGTATATGTTATCCCTAAGAGTAATTGGATGAATAGTGATTTGAGATAATCAGCGCAGCAAACAATATATATATATATATATAGCTTTACTGAAAATAGAGACTTAAATTAATAGCAATTATCTATCAGTAGAGCGAAGCATGCAATGCTGAAGCTAATGTGCTCCTTAAAGTTAAGTTCATTTTCTGTGGAGAGTTAAGAATCCAACGGCTCTTACAAATAATTGCCATACAACTTTAAATTAAAATCTTTAGCTCGGACCGATCAGAATTTTATTTTTTTATGAACATTTCTATAATAAATTTTGCCATGCCTTTTTTTTTTTTTGGGAAAATTTGGCGGAAGCCTGTATTAATCAAAAACAGTTACAAGTAATAAAATAACTCACTAAATCCATTAATGGCCGGCTTGAAGAAGCCCAAAAAAAAAAAGGAAATAAAACTAGTAAATGGCCATAAACAATGCCATCTTAACAAAAAAAACAAGTAAAAGACTTAAAGAACTCAACAGAAATGAAACAGATTTATGTGAAATAGCTCTGATATATACTCTTCCCAGAGATGTCAAACTCATCAGTAGTAAAGAACCCAAACAGTCTGTTCCAGCAATCAAAATTCAGATTCAAAGTGTACCAGCTCCGAAGCCAAGAGGTTCTGGACTTAGGTAATTGAAGAATAAACAGATAGTTGTCGAATCCCTGGTTTCCCGGAGGCCGTCCAAGGGAGCAGCAAAACGGAGCATCATCATTGTCCAGAACGGCTTCCCCTGCTGCAGAAATTAGGCAAGAAAGCGTCCAGCATTGACATAGAGAAGGAAACAATTGATATAATCTAGCCACAATCATAACATTTCCAGCAGATAGAATGAATTTTTCCATGTTAAAACCTTCTCAAATACCACACTTTTAATACCCAAAGCAACAATAACAGAGCTTCTGAATTTCCCTCCAAACCTCCTAGCATTTCTCTCTTTCCAAATGAAATAGGTAGTGCAGCAAACCATGAATTTATAAAATTTTTTCAAATTTTTATCACCTTTGCTTCAGACAGTCCCCTTTATGCCAAACATGCTTAAACCAATTGACATAATCAATATCAATGTAAAACTGCTCAATGTAATGTTTAAATTTGGAATTAGATTTTCCATTCCAGATTAAACAAGGAGTATGTAAATCAGACGAATGATGAAATAAATTTCTCAACTGATCCGGCAAAAAATCTGGTAAATTCCAACCATTGTCCTTAAACAGGGAAGCCACTTGACAATCAACATTCGGAACAGGTTCTCCCAAATACTCTCTTAATGTCAAATTATAACACCAATGATCCCACATGAAAGAAATGGGAGCATTACAATTAATAACAAAGGAGAAACTAGATTTAGCCTCTTGAGCAGTTCTGCAAATAGCTTTCCAGAATTTGGAAGCATTGGAAGGAGGAGGACGCCAAGGGGAGGAGTACTTCTTGATTAACCAAATAGAAAGGGGAGAGGTACCATTGTACATCCTAAGGATAACAGAGCAGTTATATGCAAACTGAATGGCATTTATAGAATGAATCCCCAAACCCCCTTTATTTTTAGGACGACAAACAGCATCCCAGGAAACCATATGAAGTTTCCTAGACAAAGTTGAGTCACCAAAAAAATAAAAATTTGGAGCTAACTTTTTTAAAAAATTTGCACACAGTTTTTGGCATAATAGATCCTCTAATCCAGTAACCGATGGAGTTTTGAATAGTAAACTTAATGTATTGTAATCTGCCAGCAAAAGAGAGCAAGTTAGCTTTCCACCCATTGAGTTTCCTATTGATACAGTCCATAAGAGGAAGAAAATCCTCAATTTTGAGTCTGTTAAAAGACAATGGAATTCCCAGATATGTG